ATTAAAAAAAAAGAAAAAGACAAAAAGGAAAACCATCCAACATCTTAGAAATATGTGTTTTGATAGAGAATAAAAGATTTTTAAAATTCCTTCTCTGCATTTGTCTGTGTCCTCCTAAACTGCAGTTTCCCTTGGTGGAGCTAAACTAATCACGTAGAGAGATTTATGCATTACAAATGAACACACTGAAATTTAAGTCAAACAGAAACCATTAAAGTTAGAAGACAAATCTTAATGTAGTATTTTTTGGGGGGGGTCACATAATGGTGGTTCTGTTTTAAATAGTTCAAATTTGATGTCAACACTTGGTAAGAATTACAACAGGAATTGGAAACAGCATTTCATCCTGTGTAAGCTACAAGCAGAGAAATTGTTTGAATGATAAAAAAAAATCCAACACCAAATAGCTGTAAATTATTTATCACTGTCATTCTATTTCAGATCAGAAGTCTAATAAAGCCCCCAGAGTGGTTGCCTGCAATGAGTCCCTTGGGAACTTATAAGGATGGCAATGTGTCACTTCACACTAGAGCAAGAGAAGAGCAGGAATTCTTTCCCTTAATGACTGTAGTTCTGTGAATTGCAGTGTGTGAACTCAGCTGGACCTTGGATGACAGACTTTCCTAAAAATGTCCTTTTGGTATTGTGGCAAATTCAGACAATTCAAGGTTGTTCTCTTTGGTACATTCCTTTTTTGTTTTTTTTTTTTTTTTTTTTTTTTTTTTTTTTTTTTTTTTTTTTTGTTAATCTCTAGATGAAGCCTAAGAGTAGTCCATTATACTTCTCTTCTCAGTGCTCAGTGGAACATATTTCAAAGAGTGGTAAAAACCTGAGCGAAGAAAGACCAAGTTTGGAGCAGAAAACAGTGGTGTTCTTGTGGGGGACAATTAAAACCTAAAACATGGGAGTATGGTTTTTTAGGTCAAAAAAAGATGTGTGTAAAACAGACCAGGAGGTCTATGAGAGAAAATTTCCATTTCAGCAACAAGCTCTGGGGCTGTGCTAATGATCACGTACACCAGAGAGGAGATGGGTTTCATGATGAGTTTCCAGGTATTTTGCTTCTATAATGCAACATCCTGAAAGATGATCAGGCTAGAATGGAAGAAGAGTGAGAGGAGACAGAATGAGTGTTTGCATTCTGGTTTCCCCTCCCTCCCTCTCTCTTGTTCAGTGTGTTTTCCCTGCCTGGATCAAATACCTCTGAAGTATAGGTGCTCTTGGCTGTGGTGTTCCCTGGCACCCAGCACAGATTGGCACAGAGGTCCCTGGCACAGCTAGGGTGGAAACTGTAGGGTTTTACCCTACTGAAGTCAGAGACTTTCCCACAAAGAGTGTTCCTGTGGATGCTAGGAGCCTTGGGGATTAGAAACATGAATATTATCACTTTAAGTAAGACTGTGTTTATCTGTGAGGGAGGAGATACCATAGCAGTGTCCTGTGACTCTGAAAGCCCCTTCTGAGTGCCACCACAGGGCCCAGGGCTGAGGCATGGAGGATGTGGCAGACTCCCTGGGGATTCCTCCGTGGAGCTAAAGGGAAAAGCTTTCTGTTTCAGCTTCCACAACAGACTTTGACAGATGGGGAGGTAAAAAAGGCTGCCCCACTTTCACATGTGAAAAGTCTGCAGTGATCTGGAGAATGTCAGGAGGCTGCTCTTGGAGAACACAAGGGACAGAGAATCCTTCTCATCCCACTCTCTTCAAGGTGCCTTCAGCAAGAGCTGTAGGGTTTCTTTTCTCCCCCACTGTTGTCAATAATTCCTTCCCTTCCTCCCTACCCTGAGGTTAGAGCAGCAAGAGCAGCAGGATCAATCTTTCTCCCCAAAGCATCCAGAACTGGACCATAACCATGCAAACTTGCAAGATGCTGGCACATTACAGAGTACCTTGCCCAAGGGAAATTTTGTTCTTTATTCCCTTTCAGCCAAACTAGATTTTTATCCTAAAATACATGCTTCCACCTCTTCTAAAATCCCTTTAAAAGAAATTGGACATTTGCAGGCATGCTTTAGCTGTGAAAGTAGGTGGCTGCATTTTGTTTAACAGATGTGTGTTTCCTTGTCTATAGGCTGTGGATTTGCTGCAGGGAGTCTGAAAAACTGTGGTCACATAGCAACTGTATATTAACTAAAGCTTTTGAGAGTTGCTGAAATTAAAGTTTCAATAGTGTTCAGTGTGCTGGTCAATGTGCTGATCTGCACGTGTCCAGCTTTGTTTTGTACTACCTGTCAAATGAGAAACCAGGGTTTTGCAATAATTATGACTGTTATTCAGGGAATTGCTTAGAAATTAAAGGTCATCTAGAAAAACAAAAAACAAAATAAAATCCAGCCTCAAAAACAGAAGACAGTGATGAAAACATCTAGTACTAGGAAGCTGAAAAAGCCCCAAAGCTAAACTTTAATATTCTCCATGGAAACTAGACACAGGGGTTACAATGTATTTGGTGACTTTACTGGATTTTACTGACTGTTCCCTGCACTGAAAACAAATGCAAATCACTTGGGGAGAAAGCAATCATTGAAGGCTCCATTCCTTTCGTTCCTTTTCTTTTAATTTCTATTTCAAACCCTGATTTATTATTAGCAGCTGTACTGAAGACTAGGGATGATGTTGCAAGAGGACAACTATAGGTACTTTTTTCTTTAAATAAAATAATATCTCTTTCTTGGCTCTGGGTGTCTTCAGTAACTTTATTCTGGTATGGCAGAGTGTGGGAGTGAAATAAAACCGGTGATCTTTGAAAAATCACCTTGAAAACTCATTTTACTTCCAGGCTTGGACTGTATTCATCTCTGGCCTGTCCAGAATCCCTCAAAGTTCTGTTGCCAGTTTATAGAAGAGAAAATAATTAATACAGGTGTTTACGATACCTACTGTAGAAGGCTGGCATTCAATTAAAAAGGGTAAACCAACCCATTTTCATTTAATACCAGATACACAGAAGCAGCACAGCTGTGTGCTCTTTTACTAGGGCTTTGCCAGACTTGGTAACTCCCAGCCATAATAACCCTAATAATAAAGTTTGCTGCTGAGTCAGCCCTGTTTCCTCAGTGGAGGAGTGTAGAGCAGATGCTGCAGTGCTCCAGGGTGTGTTTGTCAGCAGCCAGGAGAGAATCAGAGCAGATGCTCCTCTCACTGAGCAGCCCTGGGGAGGAGGGGAAGACTCAACCAAAGCTGCTCTGCGCTGGTCAAATGGCTTGAGAGCAGTGCTGCTGTTTGGCCCATGTAGCCAAGTGTCTTTTTGCAGAGCTCAGAGGGAGAAGAGGGGCAGGATAGAGCTCATCTTATTGCGATGCAATTATTTGAATTTCTATACATAGATTCAGAAATGTTCCTCTTTCACTATTTTTAGGAATTGTTTAAGCATCTTCTCATAGAAACCAGTAAATCCAGGATAATACTGAGATGCTTAGAATGCCTCACCTTATTTCATTTAATATGCTAGTTGGAATAGTCTCTATTAAGTCTCTGTGAGTTATTAACTCTCTTTTCCTAACTAGAAAAGAAATATAGGGCTTCTTTTTTTTTAACAACTTTCTGACAGGTATTAAAACATGATAAAATGAAAATGGCTTCATGCTGGAATGCACTGGGACATTTCTCCTGAGAATGGAACTGAGCAATGCAAAATTAATATTGATTTTATCACTGTTGCCTCCTCTAAGGAAAAAAGTCCTTGCAGATTTGAAAGAATGTTCTTTTTGTGTGGCAATCTTTTGGGAGTTGTGCTGCCTGTGTTTAAAGTCTCTGAAGGTCCAAGTCCCTCAAGACTGAATGGAGTCCTAAATGATGATCAGCATGATTCAATATCTTAACAATTTAAGCTCTAAGAAAGGAACCAATGTAACCACAGTGAACATCTGAAGGCTTGCCCCAGACCCCATTAGACATAACAACTCTTGGCCCAGTCTCCATCCTGATTTCCTTTCTCATAGTTACAATTGTAGATGAAAACCTCTTGCAACTCTGTGTTTTTCTCATCTCCACAGGACTTTCAGCTGGTCAGAAATTAAACTTACAGAATAGAGTTTAGGGGGATTTTGGCCATCATGAACAACATATGTTTGTACAAAGAATTTTCAAACTACAGCTTCCAACCACAGGAAAGGTTTTCCTGATAGCTCCAAACCTCTTTTTTTGTGCATGGATCACTAAGGTCTGCATCCTGTGTGAACTGCAGGGAATATGGAGACAGGAATGAACAGAGCACAGACCAGAGTTACGTGGATTCAGAAAGATGTTATCTGACAGAATGACTGCTAGGGAAAGGAGGTTAAATCTGACATTCATTACCTCATTCACACCCTGTTAAATCAGTCTCTGTCTTTATTCTCAACTGTTTGTCTTTTGCCACCCACATTTTCCCTGACTCTATCATTATAATGAATTATTCAATGAGTATTTTTAAACTTCAACTATTAGTGACTATTCCAAGCTTCCTACTTTATGATTTATGCAGTTTTCAGGGATTGCTGTGTGTCTCTTCTGAGTGGTTTTATAAAGGACACAGGGAAGAAGCAGTTGGTGTTTGTTAGCATAGCAAACTAACAATTGAAAGTGGCATAATTGATAGACTAGAAAAATATAATTACAACAGTGAGTAAGAGGGAAGACGAGACCAGAAAGTCCTTCAGGGTTAAAAGCAGCAAAAAGACAGTAAATGAAGAGGACCCATTTGTGGCATTTACGAGTGGAATGATTGCAGGGCCCTGAGATTGACTTGAAGGAATACATGGATGGAACATCAATTATTTGTATAGGTTGGAGGGGAAAAAAACCTCAGGGAGGGAGTTGAACAGGAACAGGATAGCAGGGCTTGCATTTTAGCTTCAGGGAATGGTCAAAATGAGATACTCAGGCTGTGGCTGAGGGAAAAAAGAGCAGCAGTTGGAGAGAGGAGAATGAGAGGGACAAAAAAGAATAAAAGCAGTTCTGAAGCAGAGCAATATTGAAGTTTGAATTGCCCTCACCTAAACCTGTTTTGCTCTTTTATAGTTTACAAGACAAATAGTGAAAATGAAGTGTTTGCCTTGGAGCCACCCCATGCCTGGAGAGCAGTGACCCTGCAAACCATTGTTGTGTGCAAGGCTCAGGAGTCCGGATCTCACACAGCCCCGTGCCTCAGTGTCACTGTGGGACCCTCCTGGGACTCCTCTTGCTCTCCTCATCCACTTGCTCAGAGCACAGAATTAAGAAAAAGGAATCAAGTTTCTGTTGGCTTTCCCATTAGAGATGGTTTCTGAACAGTTTCCAAAGTTTGGAATATTTGATATTTCAAGGACATCACAACATCCTGTTTCACTTTCTACAACCCTCAGTATGTCTTTCCTGTTTCTAGTAGCCACCCCTATTCTATAAAGCTTTGGAACAGAAGATATGCTAGGAGTGAAGCTCTTAAGGAGAAAAACCCAAAGAGCTGATATTTCCTTCTCTTTCTTGTTTCCCTTCTCTAAGCTATTTGACCTTCCCTTCTGTAAATATTGATGAAACTGAATGCTGGAGAGGAAGGGTTCTCACTGTTAAGTCATACCAAAAGGTATCAATACAGTAAATTTTCAAAATCTTACCCTATATCCATTCTCCAAGTGTGGTAAGTGTGCCACTTCTTTCCCATTACTGAATTAGATATTTAAATGTTAAAAAAATTTCAAACTTATAATTTCTGCATGTTATTTTCTCAGACAATTTATTTTTAAAAAAGTATTTTTAAGTTACAAAAAATAATCTAGAACTGTGCTTTTGTCCTAGGGTATTCACAGTTTGTAGCAGGAAAATTGCATGAAGTATTACAAAAATAATAGAATTATAGAGACATGGGTAAATTAGGTACATGAGAAAGGATTAAAACAGCTTTCTCTGAGAGAAATTAAGTCTCACAGAGGAGTAAATGAGTACAGCTTTAACTGTGACCCAGGTGAAATAGTGCAGTTCAGTTAAGAAAACTTTTTGATGAGACATCTCCAAGGACTTCTACAGTAACTAAGCTGTCATGGAATGAATGTGGATGTCCTCTTCTGAATTAACTGTCAAAAGATAAGAGACCAAATGAAGGAATAAATGGACTGCTTTCTCATGGAGAGGCCATCAGGGGAGTCGTGCTACATCTGTGCTTGTCAACATGTTTCCAAATGGTCTGAGAAAGAAGCTGAATTCAACGCTAATGAGTGAGAGTTTATGGAAAAAGCAAACCATTAGCACCATGATGGAGAGACTGCTTCAAAAGGGGATTCAACAGGCTCAGAGAAAGAACAGTCTAACTACAGCTAGCAAACCCAACCAGACGAATGCATCTTCCAAAACAACATCTCCAAGTCTCCATCAGAAGCTGAAATAGTTTAAGAGGAAAAGAATCCCTGTGGATATCCTTTCTGCTCCTGCTCTATGTTTCTGCTACCAAACTCATCTGCGGGACGCTGAGTGGAGTGACTCTGGTGAGGTGCTGGACCTTCTACAGGTCTCATCATCTCATTCCTCCTCTGCACAAAATAATCAATCAACTTAAAACAATTACATCAGTGAAAAAAGAGGGAAAAGCATACAGTGGTTTATTTTTCTTTATGTGGGATGTGCAGATGCTGTGACAGGCAGCCTTGCTTCAGAAACATCAAAAGTGTAATGGTGTTAATGGAATCACTTAGGCCTGAGAAAATAATCTGTCATTTACAAGTAAATGACAACTCAAAACTTGTAACTACGGGACTGCAAAATATGGCCACAAAATGCTTCCACAAGCATTGTCCAAGAAATTATTACACAAAATGCTTCCCCAAGCATGAGTCCAGAAAATTATTGCACAGCTGTAGCACAAATGCGGAGAAGATTAGTAGAGACTTTCAATAGATTTTTAGGTTCTCCATCTTTAAAAATACCTTTTATTCTCAATGCAGCTTGATTGCATATAGTAGCTGGCATGAAGGCAAAAAACAGCTATAGCAAAGTCTTGGGAAGAAATTGCCAGCTTATTTGGAAATGCTGACAATGTAGCTGCAGGACGGAAAAAAACTTTCAGTATCTGAATCATAGGAAGAAGGACAGGATCATGATTCTGCAGTCTTAAACAGAGGAGGAAGTCTTTGAAGGAAATGATTCTACCCCGCTATGGGTAAGTATGACAATCTTTATCATATTCAGTCCAAGAATCTCCTGGCTGTATCAGTTAGAGTTTGATTATAAACAGGCAGAAAGAGGCTGTGGAGTCTTTGTCCAGCTGTGATGTCTGGTGCTGTGCTTCTCTTGCCCCCAGGCAGAGATGCAAGCACAGGGTGATGAATATCTTGGGACACTTTTTTCAGAGCTCTGGGACAACACATTGGCTAAGGGAATGGTGGTTAGATCTGCCCTTATCTAAAAAACTGTATTTTCCTGCTTACCCAAAGCAAGAAAGTTAATTATCAAGACAGGTACTCTCTTATTTCCCCTCTTCCCCTCAGTTAACCTAAATCTGGTCCAGGCTGGAGAGTGGATTGTCCCAGGCCTGGAAATGATGCTTAGATTTGTCTCCAGGATACATCAAAACAGGAGACACAAGAGCTCCCATTTGGTATTCATAGATAGAAAAGAGGGTGTCATTGTAAAGAGATCCCAGTTTCAACGTACTTTATGGCCAACTCTTCTAAACTATCAACATGCATGAATTAAATCCATGGAAATTCCACAATACAAATTTGGTGTTACAGGCTAGAATAAGCTGGTCATGTCCTCAGTTGATCCTAATTAAAACTGAACAGAGGGTTTACCCTGGCCATGCAGATGTACTCTGGTGGAAAATTCAGCTGCATGGTTTTTGCTTGGCTTTGGGATTATGACATGTTAGATTTATTGGCTCATTTGCTGCAGTAAATGAGAGGCTCTGGCTTGAGCAACCATTGATAGCAGGGAGGTGAATGGGCTGGCTGAGGAGCAGGACAGGAATGGAGAGAGAACATTTGTTCTGAAAGACAGAACACAGTCCTCACACACTGTCCTAGTCCATCATGACTGTTTTCCACAGCCACTAGGCATGATCTGCTTTGCCACTTGAAATGAACAAACATAATTTTTTTCTTAAGTGAGAAGTGTTGTAATGAAAAGAATCTGACAGATCATAGAATATACTACAGGAGCTTTTTTGAAGTGAGCTAGCTTCCCTACCACTAGAAAGAAAAGGGATTTCCTGGTGCCAATTTCCATGCTAAGAACTGAAGTGTAGGGAAAGCAAAGGATTTTACATATTCTTGCACAGGAAATAAAGGCGTTTGGTTTTGCAGTTACCTGCTGTATTGAGATATCCAAACACTATTTGGGAATCATGAGAAGTTGAGGTACTTATGCCAGAGAGTGTAGGCACCTGAAATTATGGATTAAAAATATCACATTTATAAGCCTAGTGAAAATGAGTAAATAAAGACAGATGAGACATGATGACTTTCTATGTGACAATATGAAGCTGATGAACGTGATGATCACATGCAAAGAATGAGAAAAATATTTTCCTATGATTCAATTTCTGACTCAGAATTTAAATCTCCTGAAAGATCCCTATCAAGGGGACACTTTAGTAAGGAGGGAATCTGCCTAACTTAACAAAATTCAGAGAATAAATTTCACAAAAATTATAGAGCAACAGAGGCAACTGTGAATGAGCGCAGGTTGAATGCCAGAGGAAGGACTCTTACAAAATATTTTCCCTATTTTGTTACCTCATCATTAATATAATATTGTCTTAACCTTATGGTAACTGGTAATGGTAATTGATAGTATTAAGAACAAATTTGTAGCAGATGGTTTCTAGTTTGCTGTATGAGGACTTGAGACCCCAGAGAAGTCTCATGGATTGGCCATGGCCTGTGTAACAGGGTGGGAGGGTCCAGAGCAGATCAGATGCAGGAGAGGAGCCTATGGAGAAATACCATCCACTTGCTGTCTATCCCAAACTTCCACTCTTGTCCTGCTTTGACTGCTGAGCCCTGAGCCTTCTGTTCTTACCAAGCTTTCCCTGAGGCAGCACCTCTCACTGCTCAGGCTCATGCCCTGTGTGTGCTACAATGAATTAATGTTGTTTTGCTGCATGTGCGGCGTTGCCATGGCCCTGATCTGCTCTCATATCACCTGGGGAGAAGTGTTTTCTGCAGTGCTAGACACAAGCCAAGACAGAATTTGATGTGAATACCGTTTGAAGGATAAAGAAACTGATACCATAAAATGATTTATACAGTGCCCTGGCATTTTCAGCTACCAAGATGAACTGCTATGGAGTATACAATAAAGCTCTTTATCAAACATGGCTTTTCATGTCCCTTTCATCTGTAAAGAGAAATGTGTGAGAACACAGCCCCATCAGTTATCCCCAGAGGAACAGAAGGACAATTTCTTCAATACAGTATTTGATGCTGGTAGTAGAATTGTTTCTGGATTATCAGCTTGTATTAAGCTTCTCATTAATACTGAGAAGTAATGTTGAGCACAATCCATAATCTATAACCAACTTTAAAAAAACAAAAGTGGACTCAGCAGAAAAGAGGATACAGGTGATTACTGTGCCAATTACTCCACTGGTGTGAAAAAGTGTGATCAAATCCATGGAAAAGCACCAGTGTGGGAGCTGGTAACATGGCATGGCACTTACTGGGGGCAGTCAGACTCTGTAATACTCATGTGCCTTTTTTCACTTTCCTCCACTCCAAATTACACAATGGGTCAGGGTGGAAGTGATGGAAGAAACACTCACTTTGTTTAAAATATTAAAAAGAAAATTATTTTATATGATGAAATTGAATAAATTACTTTTCATGTGATTTTTCTGTTGCTCATCTTCTCCCCCTTCAGGTTTTCTAACCCTTCTGTTGCTCTGTACATTTGCAAAGCCTTTCTACTATTTCAAACATCAGAACTACTAACTTGCACCATAAGCCAGGATTTTCAAAGTTAGCCTAAATTTTTGAAATTCCAAATGGTTCCAAGGAACAGCAATTCTCTCTCAACCATGCATTCTGCTCTTTTTTTACTGCTTGGGGAAAGTAACAAGGAAAGCAATAAGGCAAAACACTGAAATGTCCAGTTGCAACCAAAGGTGGAGTATAAATAATAAATTTTAAAGAAAAAAATTGTTAACTAATTGGTAAAAAGCCAAATCTACCGCTCATTTTTTTTGATCTTCACTAATGCCAACAGTTCTAATGGATTTTTCCTTGTGAAGTGAAATAATTGGTGTAAACTTAAAGAAAAATAAATCTATACTTCTACTATTAGGTGTCAGGTTACCAGCCCGTGTAGTAAGCTGTTGTCCTCTCAGGCCTGGAGCATAATAATTTAAATATTGTACTTGCTGCCAAGCCTCTGCTGCCCTGAAAAGTTGCTTTTTCCCCAGCAGTACTGAAGAGAAATCTCTCCAATATGAGTACATTAAACACATGAACAACTCTGACAAGAGGCAGAGTAATATTTTGTTGGGTGAGCTCATTTGTGCTTTATTGTATTCATCTATTGGCTGACCAACAGATCCATCAGGTGCTTTTGCAGCAGTCAGATACAGGGACATGACCTCAAGTCTGACATCAAGCCAATAGGTTCTCCCTGCTGCTTTACAAAGAGGTAAAACAAGACATTTCAAGTAAGCAAAGGTGCTCTGTCACCCTGACTTACACCACATGAGGTGCAGACAAAGCATTAACATTTTTTTCAGCAGTGAGGCTGTACCAAGCTTTGGGAAATTAATGTGCTCTGAATATGTCTGAAGCGCTCAACAGTTTGATGTGGCAATAGCAGCCAATAGAATTTTAATCAAATTTGACCATTTATCTCTACCGAGATGTAAAAGCTTCATTAGTGCAACAATGTGCAACCTCTTGCATCCATTTTTCTGTGCAGCGTCAATGGAAATTACAGTGTGTTGTCAGCACACTGAAAAGTAACAAACTGAGGCAGACTGCAAATTTACCAGTGAAACATTGAAGAAGATGACATTTTGTCTCCATGACTGTAAAAGGGGAGAAATAGGTCAGTAGAAGTCTACTTTTCTATCAAGCCTGAGATAAGCCCTTCATTACTGGCCACACGTTTACATAGCAATTACAGGAAATAAGCCATTACAGAGAGAAATATTAATCTATTCCCTCAGGAAAAAGAAAAATGTAGGCTGGCTTCTCCTGTCTCAGCATTGCATTGCAAACTACATGTTAAAAATATATTGTACAGAGTAAATGGAATAGGAATAACTGATGAATAATCACAAAACACAGATGTTGAGATCTTTAATGCATATTGGATAAGGTTTGGATATTTGCTAGTGACACTTGGTAGGAATTTGGAATTAAAAAAAAAGGTGACTTTCTCTCTACTTGGGAGAAGCTCAGGGCTGTCATAAAAGTTCAGGCTTAGGGCCAAGGAGGTATGTTAATAATGAGCTTTGCTCTCAATGCTTTCCTTTGCCAGTGTACAAACAGGTGATCCCAGGCCTCCCACTGCTCTGGCTCCCTGAGATTCCTTTCCATAGCATCACTAAATCCACACACACCTGGGTCTAGGTCCTGTTCCTACTGTGGGCCTTGGAAGAAAGACCCAAACCCTTACTGCCGCACGGCACTCTCATTCCTTCTCATAGCAAGTGCCCCCTGTCCCTGTGCAACCATTTTCTTCTGAAGGCAAATCAATCCACCAGAACTGTTCTTTTGCACATCTTTTGGATCCTTAATGAGCCAAGATGCTCATTACTGTTCTTTCTGTGTAAACCTGAGATAAAGAATTCCAGCTCTTAGAAAAAATTCTAGCCTTCGCTAGAGACTTAGTTTGCAACTATGAAATAACATTTCTTTTAGACCTATGAATTTTTTCTTCCCCACTTCTCACTGTTTTCCCATGCCCCAGAGGAATTTATTCTTACTTATTGAAGTATCTTCTATCCAGATTGCCTCCAAACATCAAATGCAAGTCAGATTAATTATCAAGTAGATCATCACAATTTATAATAAGTCATGTGCTAATTACATGTACCCTATGAGTATTATACTCTCATTTATCTTGTGAGTGCTCATTTTGCAGATTAGTAATGAACATGACAACTGCAAGTGCAACCACTACTGTGGACTGTCAAATAAAGACGTGGAGGAATTGGGCTCTTAATTAAAGCTGGTATTTGCTTTGCATTACAAGTGCAACTACTGATGTTGCTTCCAGGAAAGTATGTTTATTAAAAATATATTATTCCCAAGAGACAGATAAAAGACACTGAGACACTCAGGCAACACCAGAAGAATCACTTAGTATTGAAAACTCTTTCATAGCAACGATGAATTAGAAGCTATGAAAAAAACCACCCTGTTAGACCTGAAGAGCAACATACTCTCGCTTATGCTGTACATATGAGCTTTTCTCCTCTGTCTGAGCCATTTCCAAAGAATTCAGGCCTGCCTGTGGTTTCCTTCCTCCAATTTGGTTTGGCCTAGATTCACTCACTAAAACTGTCTGTAGATCTCACAAGTAATTTCTGTAGTTGAGAAGCACAATGAACTTGGCCATGAGTGGCCATCAGTCAGAAGACAGTTGTTCAATGCCAGCTTCATGGGCTACATAAGAATTTGCAGTTTGGAAGTGAAAAATGGTTTACTTATTTTTTTAAAGAGCACTTCATTTCTTCTCACAACCTAAAAAACAGTACTCGTGGTTTTAATATAAGGAAAAATGTGGATAGAAATACCTCAGCATCCAGTGTTTCTGAGAAAATAAGTCCTTTTTTTTGAGCATCAGCATTCTTCTGGCAGTTTATGGTCTGCTTTGGGATGGATTTCCTTTGGCTGGATGTAGGTTTATAATGAAAATTACCTTTGAGAGTGATAACTTCATGTCAGAAAAGCAGTTCTGCTTTTCTCAATTCTACTCAGCATCCCATTACTTTTGACATTTTTCCTATACTGCTTTTCAGATTATCACCTGTTTCATTCCTTTTAGTAGCTTGGCTAAGTTTCTGATGAATGTTTCAACAAGATTTCATTTGTTCTTCTAAAAAGCTCCAAACTGAATTACTCTAGAGTTGTGCCTCTGCATGTGCCCCCCTTTCCCCCCTAATAACTTCACTAATATAAGGGCTGAAATTCAAGAAGTAATTTCCAACAAGAAACAAATTCTCTCACAACTAACAACCCTTAAATTTCAGGAAGAACAAGAATGAAGATGGCCTCTTGTGGAATGTCTTTAAAAAGCCTATTTCTTTTTGTTCTTTCTAAATCCAAGAAGAGATAATTAAAATTCATGTAATTTCTTGTTTACTACTTCATGACTCTGTGACTCAGGTGATGTGTCTCAAATCCTGGGTCCAATTCTGGGGCCCGCAATTTAAGAAGGACATCAAGGTGCTGGAGCAAAATCAGACAGGGCAAAGAAGCTGGTGAAAAGTCTGGAGCAAAAGTCCTGTGAGGAGCAACTGAGGGAGCTGTGGTTTGCTAGCCTGGAGAAAAGGAGGCTCAGGGGTTATTACTGCTCTCTGCAATTCTCTGGAAGAAGGTTGTAGCAAGGTGGGGGTCAGGCTCTTCTCCTGGACAGCCAGTGACAGGAGGAAAGGACACAGTTTTAAGTCAGTGAAGGTATAAATTTGACATAGGTAAGAAATTCTTCAGAGCGGATAACTAGGCATTGGAATGGGCTGCCCAAGGAGGCAGTGGTCATCATGCTTGGAAGTATTTAAGGAAAGACTGGATATGGCACTCAGTGCCATGCTCTGATCGATGTTTGGTCATAGGTTGGACTCCATCTTAAAGGTTTTTCCAGCCTAATTGATTCTGTGGTTCTATGATATGTTACCAGTTGTGCATTCATCAGAGACACAGAACCAGGCCAGTCTCCTCTGCTAGACCTTCCAGCACTGCACAACTCTCCTACAAGTGTCTGGCTCTGTTCTGGACCTGTCCTTGCCACTGTTCCTTTCTGTATTCCTGCTTTCCCGTTCTCATTCTGCCAAACAAAATGGCAACCAGCTAACATTGCTGCCAAATCTCTTTCTTTTCCTACCAGTACCAATCTCAATACAGAGCAGGCAGTGAACTTGTTGACACCCATACTTAAATCAGAATAATGTTTTTTATCCAGTACTTTTTTTTTTTTATGACCTTGACGACATATTTACAAATTTTGTTTTTCTGGTTTGTGTTTACTCATGCAGCAGCTGTGCTTTGTCCTTTAAAATTACAGTATAGTCCTGATGC